GTATGAAGTTTGCCAGGCCAAAATCAGCAATTTTTAACATGCCTTCATCATTAACAAGAAGATTGGCGCCCTTAATATCGCGATGGATGATTCCTCTTGAATGACAATGCTCAAGACCAGATAACAATTGCTCCATTAAGCACTTTACCTGGAAGATAAAATTTTACATTTTCCAAAGAAAATTTATGTTAGATGACATATTATTTGACCAGAAAGGGAAGATTTGACTTCACTCAAGAAATATTAACCTGTGATTCAGAGAATTTTATGTCAGGTGACGATGAAAGGCCAGCAAGATCATGTTCCATATATCCAAATACAAGATATATACTACATGATAACCGAGAAGTAACCAAACCCTCCAACTTCATCACATTAGGATGGTCAAGTCGGCGAAGTATCTGTATTTCTCGTGCCATAAATCGAACACTCTCAGGCTCAAAATTGTCAAACCGCACCTTCTTTAGGGCAACAAATTTTCCTGTTTCAATATCCCTTGCTCTGAATACAGTGCTATAGGTGCCCTGCCCTATCTTCAAATGCAAGTTGGACATAAAATCTAATAAGTAGAAGGCGAAGAAAAAACATGTAGAACTTGGAGAAGCAAGAGCAGAAGTTTTTCAACATTAAAACAATGGATGAATTACAGTATAAATAAATAATAAAATAAAATACAGTTAGTTTAACAAGAGAATTATCAAGCTCTTGGCCTGTACATGGCTTCTTGAGCAAATGTATGAAATGGTTGCAACATTTTTTTTTAGATTTTCTATTACATTAGACTTTTCTGAACTATTTGAGGTCAGCACCCAGTTCAATGTCCAACAAACAAAAAAGAAATACACCATGTTTAAGCTAACATCATTAATTTCTTAAACATGCAAAGAAAGTTATGATCCATATTAATTTGAGCCTGAAAATGACTATCTTAACTTGGTCAAAAGACGAGCATGCATACAAGACAAATCCAAGGATATGACGCCTTTATTTAGTTCTATTTTAGGGTTTCTTTAACAGCGCTTATTTGATGATCACTAATGCCAAATTCTTAAGCTGAAATAGAGTATCCAATTTCCTCTCTGGTTTTTGAATTTTGTAAAGGTAAATGGATAAAGCCTTATATATGTTCCTACAGTAAAAGGGAATAAATGTTGTATGAACTATTCCTATTTAAGTATTGATGTGTCTCCAAAATGTTCATATGATCGGCACGAATCTCAAGACTATTTAAACCAAAAATCTCTGGAATTAAATTCAGTATCAACCGAACTTTGATTTCAACAAACTTATAGTTGAATTGAGCCACTCGACAAGAAAAATCCAGCAAGCTCAAGATCATTCAATTCTGATATCATTAAGACACTCAAATACTGCATAAACGATTTCTAATCAAGGGAAGTAATATGAACCATTCAATGTAGTATTTTGAATTCTAATCAAATTTATCAAAATGTACATCTTAAAAATCTAGAAATAGGGTCTTATTTTATACTTGAAGAGAGGCTCGAGAGTTGAGAGAGCTAAAGACCTCTATTACATTTTTCGATGATTATTGCCAATGATCACCATCAACAATAGTTACCGCCATCGTCAAACTTATGTCATCCAACTATTGTTACTTGACCATTAACATCCAATCATGTTGTTGGGTTTAAACTATCTTCTTTTGGACAATCAATTTCTACAATTCCTGTAATGGAAATTAGACAATTGTTCTCAACTGTGTATGATCCAATATTTTTTATTTGTGAGAAATGAAGGTTTCTCGCATCTTCCATTATATAGTGGATTATTGCAATTGGGTCAAACACCATGATTTTTCCATTATGAAAATTTTCACATAAAAATTAGAATTTGTCATAACGCATACTCTACTAAAACAATTTTTCAAGCGCAGATATGTTATAGAATTGGAATTTTCCAGCTAAAATGTTCT